AGAGTAGAAACTGAGATTATAAAAGGAGGAGACCAGATCACAGATAGTGGAATGCTAGGATATGGTGAAATGTCTCATATTCTCAGCACAGGAGAATCTATTTATATGGACTGATACTCATAACATCTACTATTCATACCAGCAGGTTAAAGCTTTTGAACTTCCTTCTGCAGACAATGGGGTATCATTGTAAGTTTGAGCAGTTTTGATCAGATCAGCTTTGTAAGGAGAGTGCCCTGGCTTGCCATGAGGATGGTGAGTGGGGGAGACCAAAAGGGTGGAGACTAATGAGCAACACTATAGAACAGACGAGGATGAGGAAGGGCAAAGAGGAGACATTTTTGAGATAATAGAAAGGAAGAAATAGGTAGAGAAATCAATGAAAAGTGACTCTAAGACTTTGTGCCTGGATTCTTAAGAGGTTGGTGATGCCATTTGATGAAAGAGGTGATTTTTTTTTTGGAAGATGGGGACAGTTTTGAGTTTGCGTAGTCACTCAGATGATTAGTGGGGAATTAAGTAACGCGTCTTACCCCACCTACAGCTTCACAGAATTCTTTTCAGTTGTACCCTAACATCCTTTCCCCAGTCTTGGCGGCTAGAATGAGGCTACCCCTGCCCAAAGTATGTGTCAGGGAACCACAAACTCAGAGGTCAAGTGAAAGTGAAAAAAATGCTGAACACAAGTGTAAGTTTCAAGGATACTTTTTCATCACCCCAAAAAGAAACCCTGTGCCGTTTGCTTACCCACTCTAAGCCCTAGGTAACCACTAATCTACTTTTTGTCTTCATGGATTTGCCTATTCTGGACACTTCATATAATATGTGGTCTTTTGTGACTGGTTTCTTTCACTTAGCCTGTGTCCAAGGTTCATCTACATTGTAGCATGAATCAGTACTTCATCCCTTTTTAATGGCCACATAATGTTCCATTGTTTATCCATTCATCAGTTGACGGACACTGGGCTTTATGAACAAGCTACTATGGACATTTGTGTACAAGTTTTAGTGTGCACATATGTTTTCATTTCCGTTGGATATATACCTAGAGATGGAATTGCTGGGTCAAATGGTAACTCTATGTCTAACTTTTTGAAGAACTACCTACGTGTTGTACCATTTTACATTTCCACCAACAGTGTCTGAGGGTTCCAATTTTTCCATACTGTTGTCAACATTTATTATCTGTCTTTTTGATTACAGCCATCCTAGTGGTTATGAAATGAAATCTCATAGTTGCATTGGTTTGCATTTCCCTGATGATTAATGATGTTGAGCATCTTTTTATGTGCTTATTGACCATTTTAATATCTTTGGAGAAATGTCTATTCAGATCCTTTGCTTATTTAAAAAATGGAGTTGTCTTTTTATTGTTGATATCTGTTTTTAAAAATATATTGTAGATACAAGTCCCTTATCAGATATATGATTTGCCTATATTTTCTCCCATTCTGTGCATTGTATTTTCACTTTTTTGATAGTGTCCTTTGAAGCACAGAAGTTTTTAACTTCAGTGAAGCCAAATTTATCTATTTTTTCTTTCGTTGCTTATGGCTTTGGTGTCATATTTAAGAAGCCATTGCCAAATTCAATGTTACGAAAATTTACCTCTAGGTTTTCTTATGAGTTTTATAGTGTTAGCTCTTATAGTTAGGTCTTTGGTCCATTTTGAGTTAATTTTTGTATATGGTTTGAGGTCAAACTATTTTTTGATAATTTAATCTGCTTCTACTGATGGCAAACTTAATCTAGTCAATTCTGGATAAATTCAGTAAGTTCAGGTTTTCCCAGTCACTGGAGGTTTAACTCAGTAAATTCAGGATTCTCCCTTTTCCTTCATTCCCCTCTCATGTGCGATTTAGCTAAGTCACAGTGGGTGAACAGAATTTGTTGACATGTAGCATAGAATGGGTTTCAATTAGAATTAGGTTTAAGTGGGGGTCTCCATCTCAGAATTAGCTTCAAAGGGAGGACAATAATAGAACCTGAAGAAAATTTTGGGATGTGAGATTAGGGTGAACATGCACCCCAAAGGAAGCATAGTTACTCTTGGAGGCAGCAAGCTACACAGAGGTCCCTGAGACGCCGTAGAGATGGCTGCACTGGGTGATTTTCTTCCCCACTCATTCCACATAAACTTATTGATTGCCTATCCTGCTCCAAGAACTGTTTTACAGCAGTGGAATAAAGCGGGAATGGAAACAGACAAGTTCTCTGCCATCATGGGACCTATAGTCTAGTGGGAGGAGACAGGACGATAAATAAATAAAAGTATAACATGCCGTGATAAAAAAAACTAAGAAAAAATATAGAGCAGGGGAGATAGTGAGCAAATGGGGCTGAGGATGGTATTTTATATAGGATGGTCAGGGAAGGCCTTCTATGACACCATGACATCAGAGCAGAGTCCTGAAGGAAGAGAGGGGGTGAGCCTCGCAGATATGTGCGGGAAGAACATGCCAGGCAGAGGGAATAGCTAGTGCAGTGCCCTCAACAGGAGCAGGATTGGCAAATGTGAGGGTGAGTGAGGAGGCCAAGGTGGTCAGAATGGAGAAGGTTAAGACAGTGGTGGGAGACGAGGTCAGAGAGGTGGTAGTGGTGGTGGGCTAGACCTGACCAATTGTTGCTCAGAATGGTTGTGCAGGTGTGTACTGCTCACTGCTCACTCATACATAAAGTGCCACTCACACATGTGTACCTACACCACTCTACTATGTTGGCCAAGGGGGCAGATCAATATGGGGCCTTACAGGCCATGGAGACGCCTTTAGAATTTACTCTGAGATAGGAAGGCATTGCAGTGTTTTGAACAGAGACTTGATCTAACGTCTATTTTAACAGCAACAGTCCGGCTTCTGTGTTGAGAATAGATCATAAGGGTGCAAAGGTGTAAGCAGAGAGATCAGCAAAGAGTCTGTTGTAATCCAGGAGAGAGATGATGGAGGCATGACCCAGGATTGTAGGAGTGTTGAGAAAGAGTTGGATTTTGTTTATAGTTAGAACGCAGAGCTGACAGGATTTGCTGATGGATTGAGTGTGGCATGTGAGAGAAACAGAGGAGACAAAAAGGATGCCACAGTTTCTGAGTTGAGCAAATGGAACGATAGAGTTGCCATTATGGCGAAGGCTGAGAAGACACTTTTTTGTGTGTATGTGTGAAGAAGATTGGCCGTGAGCTAATATGCGTTGTCAATCCTTCTCATTTTACTTGAGGAAGATTGTTGCTGAGCTAACATCTGTGCCAGTCTTCCTGTCTTTTATGTAGGATGCAGCCATAGTGTGACCAGCGGTGCTAGGTCCATGGCCGGGACTGGAACATACAAACCTTGGGCTGCCAAAGCAGAATGCAGGAACTTAACCACTACGCCACAAGACTAGCCCCTGGGGAGATGCTTTTAGGGAAGCTTGGCTGCCATAGAAAGAGAGCCTGAATCTTTGGTGGTTGGCTGACCATCTTTGTCCTGCTGGTGCAGAAGAGTAACCAGATCCAGTCCTCAGACTACACTGGACACCTCAGTACGTGATGGGTGGTGGGGATGGGGTGAGGGGCAAGAAAGACATTGGACTTGAATACAGGGCTTGAAGCTTGTATCTTTTCATTAGCATAAACAATCACTTACTTGTTTTATCATGTATTATTCACAGATAGTTTGCGCCTAGAGGAAACAAAGACTTTAACCAATAATTGTTGAACATCCATTGGATGTATAGCACTGGACTGTGCAATATGGGGAACCATAGAATATAATGCACAGATCCCTCGGATAAACAGAAACCTCTGTTTCCAAGGCCATCACCTTGTTCCATATCGAGCTTTGAAATAGCTCATATGTCTGATGTCCTAGAGGCTCCTGTCAGTAATGTCATTTGTGCAGAGAGAGGAGGGCTTCTATCATATAATAGGCATTTCTAAGCTGCTAAGTAGCATTTCCCAAAAGAGAACACAGAAGTTAAGAGAGAGCTGTCAGCTGCGTGGTAGCACAATGACTGGGTCTAGTTTATCTCAACACATACAGGCCTTGTGCTGGCATTTCCTGGATTCTGGAGCTAACACTCTTATTTTCCTCTATCCTGCAGCCTTTCTAAACACAAACGTTTGAATATTAAGCTTATTCTTTCATATTTCATTATGTGATTCTAAGTCTCAACCCAAACCATCTTTGGACTGTAAGACATATTTGAACCGTAAATTTAAATTTTGGTCAGTTGCACAATTTGGCACCCACCCTTCTGCACGCCCTGAGCTCCTCGGCCTTTCTGCAAACCTTGCTGTGCGGGGATTACTTAGTTGCAGTTCTTTGATAGTGTGGCTAGTGTCACAACCGTCGCGCAAAGTTTGCCTTCTTCGGGTCTTCTAGAAAGCGAGGGCAAAGGGCTTCAAAATGTTGTTACAAGATGAGGGCTACAAAAGCAACAGAGAAGCCCTGGAAAAGTGTCTCGCCGCCGGTTTCATTTATGACCACCGGAGCTTCAAGAGTCAGCAGCTTTAACCGTAAACAAACGAAGACTGTCAGGGACCAGTGACAGCGGGCTCCCGGAGGTGGAAGGTTAAACCTCGCCTTGCAGTTAAGGAAGCGCCGCAGGCGCGGCCTTGCAGTCTTAAGAGAAGGTTCCACCGCCAACGGTTGGCTACAAAAATTGCTGGCTCGGCCAAGTGACGTTCACCTCCCTGGAGGCTCGCGTCTACCTGGACATCTGCTGACGGGTCAAGTTTCACTAACGCCATATACTTGAGACAAAAACCAAAACTACATGCTCCAAATAGAGGCCTTAGTTCCTCGCTCTCTCCCTTCCTATTATCTTTCTTTACCATGTATTTATTTTTTATTTCTATTTCTTCCTTTACTTCAACACCTTCCTCTCCCTTCGTCAGCCGATTACCCAGCCCCACCCCACCCACTCCACCCCGGCTCCTCCTTTCCATCTCCAGGCGTCTCGCCGGCTCATTCCACCGCTCCGGTCCTTCACGCCCCTCCTCTCCCGTCACCGCTACTTCTCACCCTCCCTGCCCCCTTGAAGCTCCGGGAACGGGTCTCGACTCCGCCATCCTTCGCTTTCCCAGGCAGGGACTGTCACACCCGAGGGCCGGCCCCTCCAGGGCAGCTATACCGCCCTCGTCGCCCCTCCAGCGCCGCCGCGCGCTGCGTCTCCTCCCCGGCCCGCGCGGCCACAGCCGCGGCTGCCCGGGTGGCCCGGCCTCCCCAGCGTCGTCCCGCCCCCGTCCCGCTCCGCCCCCGGCCGCCGCTCCCTGATTGGCCTCCCGCCCCCTCCTCCCCAGGCGCCTCTCCTCCCCGGCGCCCAATGGGCACCACCACCTGGTCCAAAAATTCCCCCGAGGGGACCGAGGGGCTCTGCACCACCAGCTCCCGCGCGGCGGCGGTGACGGCCGCGGCGGGGCGCCGAGCGGGGAGGGGAGACGGAGGGGGAGCGGAGGAGGGAGGAGGAGGAGCAAAGGTGTTGGAGAGAAAACTTCTGAAAGGAACAGGAAACCTGCCGGGGAGGCGGCGGCTGCGGCTCTCGGGGTGCCCGGGCGGCGCACGGCGCGGGGTGTCTGCAGCGGCAGCTTCGCTCGTGGCCGGCTCCCCCGGCGCCGGGCAGGGCTGAGCCCCGACCCTCGGCCACTCGGGCAGTGCCCTCCGCCGCCGCTCTCGGCGCCGCCGTCGTGCGCTCCGCTCCGCCTCTGCCGCGGCGGCTCCCCGGAGAGGGCGGCCAGGGCGCAGAGAAGAGGAGGGACGTCTGCTCTGGAGCATGAAGCAGCATGTCTGATAAAATGTCCAGCTTCCTCTACATAGGGGACATCGTGTCCCTGTACGCGGAGGGCTCGGTCAACGGCTTCATCAGCACCCTGGGGTAAGCCGGGGGCGCGGGCTGGGCGGCGCTGCGCTCTGTCTCCTCGGAACCCATCCCGGTCCCTGCGGGCGCCGCCGCCGCGTCCTCCCGCGCGTGGCCGGGCTGCGGGGGCAGGCTCCGCGCCCGCGGACAGCGCCGTGCGCTCGGCTGGCTCGCAGGAAGCTGCCTGCGGAGGCAAGACTTTCTCAGCAACTTCGTAATCTCCAGCTCAGAGACACATCCGAAAAGGAGGAAGTGATTCAAAAGCCCTGAGACAGGCCCTGCGAAGAAGTCTTCGCTGGCTTCTCCACGGGTTGTTTTGATGAAAATGTTTGTTTTCTCTTAAAGGTGAAACAAAACACCTTTCTTCCCGGTCTTTGCTCGCTCCCGCTCTCGAGCCCTGTCTCTCCGTGCCGGGTTTGTAAGAGCAGTCGATGAAAGTCCTTGGCCTTGGACATGAAACTCGAGCGATGCGGTGAGCCAAAGTGTGGCTTTGCCCTGCGGGAGGAGCGCACTGTCCCCTCTTCGCCGAAGTAATTTCCTTTCGGCTTTGCCAAACGGGAACTCGCCCCGCCGTCAGGGGCAGCCCAGGGGCGTCCGCAGCGCTGTCCCCCTGAGAGCTCCCTGGCGGCCTCCTGGGTTCTAGAACTCAGACCTGCTGCCCTCCTTTCCAGGCCTTGGCCCACTGAAATCTTCAAGCTCTCCTGGAACTCGGCCAAGTGCAGGGCTCTTGAGATTCGACTTGATTTATGAATGGTGGAAATATATATATAAACATCACAGTGTGCTAGATGGTTAAGTAGGACTTCCTTGATTGCTAGTATTTTCTCTCTGTCCTGATTGTGAACACCAGTTCGCCGTTTCAATGCACACTGCAATATATTTTGATGCGCCCGTAGTTTTTTTGTTGCCTCGTGGTCTGTACTTGAGACACCCCAGCCTTAGAGGTTTCAGGCTGTGGAACTGGTGTTTCCACTCTTGGCTAGTCACTGTGTTCTGCTGTTGGGTTTTAGGACACATGACTTAGTATGCAGTTTCCCTGGACCGGGACTGCGAGCCACCGTGTAACGGAGTGGTGCTTGCTTGACACCGGACGTGGAAGTCACGAGTACTTCCACAGTTTCTGTTATTCGTGCATCTCCCTCCCCCATGGATGGAAGAAGATTTAATTTAGTCCCTTTAAGATCTCTGTTATTTTACTTGTGAAACTGAAGCGTGGAAGAAAAACCGTGTGGCAAGTGCTTATGCTGGGTTTGTAAATCAGGAGCTCCCAGTGGTTTCTGAGAGAATACTTAGTCTAAGTTCAGTTTGGGACCCCTAACAACATTTTGCAGATGAAGTCTGCTGCACTTCACCCTTCCGCTCTCTGGAGGAGGTGTGTGGACTGTGGTAGTTAAGCAAGAGGGGCTCCAGGGCCCGGACGCTTGGGGTCAGATCCTGGCTTCTGCACTTGTGCCCCTTGTGACCCTGGTCAGGTTACGTAATCACTCTTATCTCAGTTTCCTCAAGTCTAAAAATGGGAATAATAATGGTTTCTACCTTATAGGGTTGTGGTGGGGAAGAAATGAGTTAAGATATGTACACTGATCTGTGTGAAGCCTTAGCATGGTACCTGGCGCTTAATGAGCACTTGCTCATTATGTTAGCTGTTGTAATTATTGGTACCTTGGTGATTGCGAGCAATAGCTACAGTTGTGGGCAAAATAATAAAAAGGATTAGGAATAGAGTATAAAACCTATCTTAAATAAAAGGCCATGTTTTGCAGTGTCTTATTCAGCAAAGGTATGTGTTTGGGTAACTATGCACGGATAGGGCTGTAGTAGATGGTCAGTCAGGAAGCTACAACTTTAGCAGTTGTGGATTCTTTCCTGCTCATTTGAGAGATGGAGAAACTAGGAGGAAGAGAAAGGAAGTGACTTCCCCAAGAAACAGAGGACATTAACATTAGTGCCAAAAGCTGGAACTGTAACCGTCTCTCCAGATTCCCAGCCATGTGTGTGTTTCTTTGGTTACACATCATAGTCTTTAAGCCTTTAAGGTTGATCTTTAATGTAGCATATACATTTGTATAAATATTTCTTCTTTGTAGTCACTATTTCTAGTTGGTGTTTTGAAAGTTGAGTTTCCTTCGAATGTGTTTGTGCAGTGTTATTTTTCTGTTAACAAACTGAGTCTTGTTGAGGTTAGCGTGACAGGACCTCCGTGCAGCTTGATCCTAAGGTGAGGAAGGATCTTCAGAAATGCTGCCATTGGTGGAGTCTGGTGCTTTCACTGCATATTCCTTTTCTTTACTCTGTGGAACCGCATTACCCTCAGATTTTTTAGGGCTTATAAAGCTTGCAGGAGTATATGTCCCTGCCACATGAAATGTTATCTAGGTGGGGCAGCATCACCTACTTTATTAGCTTAGAATACAATTGGTAGATATTTTATTTTGCAAATTGGCTTTAGGGCTATGAAATCAAAGCAGCATGGCAGTTATAGTTTTTCATTATATTGTTGTAGGGTCATTATTTATTCACTTTCGGTAGCAAAGACGTGAAGTGCATACTTCACGTTGAATTTCCTTGATCTTCTATTAGTTGGAGATCTCTTGTCCTAGGTCTGCTGCTAATGAGCCGTGTGACCTTGATCGTATCATTTATTCTCTTTTTGTGTCAGTTTGCCTTTCTGGAGACTAAAGAGAGTACATGCTGTGCCCACTTCCCTGGGGTATGATAAAATTATGTGAATGAAAGAGACAGAAATGGAAGAGCCCAATTTTTTTTTTTCAGAAAGTTGCTAGGAAAATCCACGTTATACTTATATTTTTTGTGGTCCTTAAATTTCTTCAAAAAGTGTGTGAAATGTTAAAGTGAATCAGAGAGCTGGATTGGAGACATTGGCATTGTTATCTATTTAACCAAAATAGTTCGTTCCATCGTAATATTAAAAACTCAATGGAAGAGCTGAAAATTAAGCTTAAAGTTTCTGATTTCTATTTTAGCTCTTTATCTCTTTGGCGCTTTTGATAGCATGATGATTTTTCAAATTCAGCTTAAGAGGGTAGTTAATGAGAACGGAGTTCACAGAGCACTTCAAGGTAATTAATAGATATTTGCAAATAAGTTTTGTCCGATGTTAATATTTAGTGTGTCACTAAGTTTGGGAAAACATACATTGTTAGTTTTTTTGCTTTTGGGAATTTTTGCAGTAAGGTAACAAATTCTTCAGCTGAAAAAAATCAAGAGTTTCACTATATGAGAGTTTAGCTGGCTCCTCTCAGGGGCCCTTCCAACTGGAAATGTGGAAGGATTTCCTTAGCCTCTGTGACCCTTTTAAGTTAGATTTCTCAGTCTGTGAGGAATTGGAATGCCCCGGTTGCAAAGATTTGCATTTCCCATTTTTCCTCCAGTTATCCTTTAACCAGTATTTACCTGATGTTTCTGAATCCTGAATTGTTGCAAACTGAAGTAGAGTATTGTTCTCTGAGCTTGTGTAGGTCCAAAACGGGCCTGGTTTGTATATTCTAACTTAATTTTTCATCTAAAGATCTATTTAGGAAACCCTTATATTGACTTAAGGAAAAGCTGCGTTAAATCCTATTGAATGAAGATGGTGAATGTATTTTAAATAAACAAATTTTTTGCTACTGGTACATTTTAGGGTTATAGTTTTTATTTTTCTTTTAAAAAGGAAGGAGGAAATTTTGGAATATGCTGTACAATTTCATATGCAGTATTGCTTGTCCCTTCCCTCTCCTTCATTTTCTTTATACTGGGATTTACTTCCCTGGTCATTACCACATCTAAGACTTTATATTTCTGAGTATATTAACTTGACCAATGGTCAGGTACCACACAGTAGACTCGGTGACAGATATATAACTCCTTCATTGTCGTTCTCCACTATCTGTTCTTGCATGGTTGAGAATGAGAAGTGTGCATGTGAGTATTTGTGTGTGTGTGTATGTCCATCTACATCTGTTTCAGGGATTGCTGCCTTTGGCTTGAGGTTTCTTCTCAGGGTCTACCAAGAATTGACACCCACTGGTTAAGGTCTCAGAAAATTGTCAGGTGACCACCCATTGATGCAAAGTATCATAATAGTCTCTTGGCCAGAGTGACAAAAGATTGGGGCCCTTATTTTTACTTCCTGCTTGGATTTTGGCCAGTTCAATGAACTTTTAAATTCTTTTGTTTCCATATTCAGTGATGGGCATCAGGTAGGGTGGTGGTGGTGTGTCACACAGTTTATAATTCTGGCTTTTTTCCTTAGATAAGCAAAACTGTGTAAATGCTTACGTTTTATTGTTTCCAATTATAGTGCCTTGAATTTCCCTTCCTGGTCTTTTTTTTCTGCTTAATGTTTTTGATATTTGAATGTTTTGCA